GGAGAAAATTTTGGTTCATGATTTCATCTGGTAGTGTTGTATAATTGGTAGATGGATTGTTCTTCATCTCCTGGAAAGAAGTATGTTGTACAATCTTGTCCACAACTCCTCTGATGGCTGCCTTCCCAGAAATTGTATCACTTTGATCACCTCTTTTCTGATATCCTAGGAAGGAAAAAATATTTTGAAGACTCAATTACTAAAGTTAAATTCATTACTATTTGGATTAAAAAAAGAGAGAGAGAGAAAAAAATTTCCCCTTTTGTCTTCACTGGTATTGGAATTAGGCTTCTAACAAGGAAGAACACTTCTTGGAGAAGTGTGTGTTTTTTAACTTCTCTAGGCATAATTTCCCATAACCATAAGATGGATATAAAATTTGCTTCAAAGAGTGTTAGAACACTAAATGAGATGATGTTTATAAAATATTTATTGTAGTCCTTGATGCTTAGCAAATGCTCAATAACCGTTATCTATGAATATGAATATATACTCTCAAAGACTAGAGTCCCTGTGAAAGAATAAGTTTGGGGCTGAAAATATGTAGATAGTTTTCATTTTTTCTTCTAATTTATTGGTGTACATGCCAAGAAAGACAGTAACCAAAAAGATTAAGAAAAGGTATAAATACTCAAATACTCAACATGGAACATCCAATGTATATGAACCATAGCTACAAACATCCCAATCCCTATATCACCTCTATAGTGCGCCCTATTATCCAGCTAAATCGCTCAATGCAACTTTTCGCAATACCGACTATAATGCTTGTTTTGGTGTATAGTTCCCTTTACAAAGAATGCTATTCTTAAATTTTCTGTCCTACAAATTACAACTTGCCTGTCAAACTTCAGCTTAAGTATCAACTTCTTTGGCATGATTTCCCTGACTATTCCAATTTGAATGAGATGACCCTATTTTTGCTCCTGTAAATTCCCATATAAGTCTTTATTCTCATCATTTTATTTACTTGTCTGTCTGCTGTTTTGTTTTATTTTATGAACTCAGGTTCTTTTAAATTTTATCTTTGATAATTTTTTGAGACTTGGGTTTCAATATATTCATTCACAGAAGAATTTTATTTACTAGCTTCAAATCTATGCTAAAGTATCTGGATTATTATAACTTTTGGAGGTGGCTGCATCATCTGTTTAAAGACAGATTTTTATATCTAGAGTGTTGTCAAATGCTAAAATTTTAGAAATTACTAAGTTGCCCATATGTTTTCTTTTTCTAAAGTGTTTATTTTAATAACATAAAGTGTTATATTAGTCTCAGGTGTACAATAGCCCATAAGTTTTCAATTTCTCATGTCCTTCATGTCTTCCTAGAAAAGAAATAGCACATGTGGATTATTTCTCTTTTCCCACCAAGATTTTGCATGTTTATACCAGGAACTATATGGCACTAAAGTTAGAGATAAAAACAATGTAAGGGCATAATATCATCTTTATACAGTTTGAAAATCAGTATTCAAACAACAGTAGCAATAAATAAATATAAATAAATGATCATGGAATTAAAACTAGAGATCAGTCACACATCCTTTTTTTTTAAGATTTTATTTATTTATTTGAGAGAGAGGGGGAGAGTGAGCATGAGAGAGAGAATGAGAGGGAGAGAGAGCGAGAGAGAGAGAAAGCACCAGCGGGAGGAGAGGCTGAGGGAGAGGGAGAAGCAGACGCCCTGCTGAGCAGGGAGGCGGATACGGGACTTGATTCCAGGACCCTGAGATCATGACCTGAGCTGAAGGCAGACGCTTAACCGACTGAGCCACCCAGGTGCCCTGCTGTCACACATCTTAAGCAAATTTCTCTGCAGCAAGAGAGGCAAAGTATGTTGAGTTATCCATGTACAGAAACATATTCTAAATTTTCATCATTATGACATGGTTTATGACACAGAAAAAGTAAAGGAAATATCCTCCCATTAACTTGACTCAGAGCTTTATAAGAGCATTTTTGAAGTGTGTGTGTGTAATCAAACTGTCAGTAAAGAGAGTGCAGTGAGTGGAACTATTAATGATCTTATAATCTGAATTCAGTCTAGGTCTCAAATTTACTGTTTACAAATTATCTTTGGCAACTAAAGCCAGTAACTATACAATTTTTTATTATACTACCTGCAGTTTATATAGTAGGAGTGTTTTGTTAGGGACCCTTAGTGTTAGTCTCATCTCAAAAAAGTTAGAAGATTCTGATGATGATATGATATGCTAAAATGCTGTCTCTCTCTGTCTCTCGCCTCTCTTATCTTGTCTCATGCATATCCCAGTGTTTCACCCAATAAAAAGCTGACAGAATAAGATAATGTTGTCCATGTCAAAGTATTCTGCTTTGCATTGTCATTGCCTACCCCTTTTGTTCTCTGATTCTATTGACAGTTGTTCCTAACAGAAAAAGTTATATGATTATATTTATAGTGCCTTATTCATCCATTTTGCAGAGATGCAACATTATCTTTCTCTGCCTCACAATGGGGGTTTTGATGGTCTTGAGGCATCTGTTTAGCATAACTTTTTTCCAAAATGCAACCAAGTACATATATTCTACTTTTATTAAGTCCATGGTATCTCCTATGGATATAAAGATGATATTATTTTCATTTTTCTTGCAATTATTACTACAGGATAAGAATGGCCTCCTTTAGATGATAGTGGACTCTCCTGAACCCTTTCTTCCTCAACTTTAAATAGTTGCTGTTGTCTCTAGTTAAATAAAAAGGTAAAATCTCCCAGATTTTCTGCTCAAGTAACTCTTACATGGTTCTGAGAAATCTAGTTGAAACATTCAGACTGTACCCTGGATGGAAAGAATAAGAACTTTGTAGATATTCAGACTTCTTTGTGAATTCTGAACCCAGAAAGCACTTGAAATTTTCCTTGGAAACAAATGGGCATTCTCTCTTCTCTATTTCCTTGCCCCCTTATTCAGTAGAGTTGTAATGCCATGAAATACTTTTCTAATAAAAAGAAATGAGAGAAAATTGGACACTGAATCTCTGTCGTAGAGAGGAAAATCTGTTACTTCCAACCTCCAAACATACTTTTATGTATTTATTTTTAGGCACTGAACTGGAGTGTCCAAATTCTGCAATTTGCCATCCACATCTGGAAACTCTATGCTTGCTCTGGAGTTCAAAGGCTTCTAGAATTTCTGTGTCTTAATTAAGGATCAGAGAAGATAAGAGACCAGAACAGACAACAAAAATTTTTTCTCAGAGATGTCATTTGTCTTGTATCATTTACCTTGAAAGAGTTGAGAGTAAAGAAGCTGCTCTTACCTTGTCCATTCATGGATTTTTCCACAAACTCTTGAAAAGATCCAGGATCTGGATGAACAGTCATCATTAGAAAGAAATAACAAGAAGAAACAACCACATCTTTGGCATTCCGGCAAAGATAGATCATCTAAAAGGGTGAAATTATATATGAAATCTCTTAATTTTTTTCAAACATAGTCTCATCAAGATGTAGAAAGAAAACGCTTAGGTTTTCAACTACAAACATAATACATATTCATTGTAGAAAGTGTATGAAATATATGAAATTATAAAGAAGAAAAATTCTTCAGTAACCTGAAGTGACAGCATCTTTTGTACAGTTGCTCAGGGCTAGTTCTCACTTTTCATTTTTCATGCCATTTTCACATATAACAACTCATTTTCATGTCACAAATTTCATGCAATCTTAGAGGAAAAAACATGTTTATTGAGGGTCTCCTAAATGCACATTTATCTCAGTAAAAATATAATCTTCACCAACATTGTTGAGCTTCCATATTACATACAGAAGAAGCACCAATCAGAAATAGCAATCAGGAAGCCTTGGTTTTCGTTGCCAGTCTGACACTAAAACGTTCTATCATCTTGTGCAAAGCACCAATTTTCATTCTAAATTTTCTGTCCAATAAACAAGTGGGGTTGGGATCTTTATGGTCTCTTCTAGGTCTGATACTGAGTGCTGCAGGAAAAGATCTGCAGAAGTAAACTCCAAATCCCTGTGGTCTCTCCACTCCTTCCCACAAGCACCTGATCAATGCCATTAGGGAAGGCTATTCATGACTCTTCGCTGTTTACTGGATTTGATTTGGCTTACTGGCTTGTCTTAACTCTTCAATTTTCTACACTTTCAAACAATTTTAAAGAAATATTCTCATTTATTTTAAGAAATATGGCTCTTCACTATCTCGCTCTCTTAAATAAATAAATAAATTCTTTAAGAAAACAGAAATATGGCTCTCATTTTTAAGGTCCTGCTAGAAAATCCTCCAATTACTCCCCTCTCCCCAAAAAAGTGAACTTTCTTTTCTTATCAAAGCTATCATTAGCCATATTAAACTTTTCCAATCTAATTTAATACTCTTCCTACTTCTTTTTGCATACTAGCTGAATGGAACTCCTTGCCACTATGAATTTACTTCAGAATTTTCACCCCTTGCATTTCTTCAGGCTGTTCCCTCTGTCTTGAATATTCTCTATATCTCAAAATGCTATCCATATTTAAAGCTTGGCTCCAGGTCTCCATGAAACTTTTTATTTTCCTAGATGGGGATAGGGTGTGAACAAGGCAATCCTCTTCTCCTAAACTCCCATTAGTTTATCTTATCTCCATTTTGGCATATACTATTCTATATCCCAAACTTATATCCACAGATGCTCTTTCTGTCTTCGAGGAAAATCTAGGTCTTTCCTAAAGATAAGACTTTGCCTATAATATCCACTTTTTCTATGTCTATACCAAAACTACTGTGTCTGTCTTTAATATGAAGAATGAGTGTGGAAGTAGTGAACAGCTTAATATTCACCATTCAAGGTGGGTTTGTCATTTCTAGGTGTAAAGAGAACAGCACTGACATAATAAGGAAACTTACCAGATTTGGGATAGGTGGCAACGACAATGTCACCTGGTCTTGCCTGGAATGTCTCCACATCATCCCAATATTTCATAATATTTGAACATTAGAATTCCATGGATTTTTCCAAAGTATGTACCATAGTCAGATTTGGAAGAATCCATCCTAAGGGTGGCGCACTGAAAGAAAAAGGTATGTTTTCCACTTTAGATGTACTTTAAAATGTTTTAAAATAATAATAGCTCTGTACATTAAGGTTCTCTTGGGTTTCTAGCATTTCTTAGCTATTGAGCATATAGAGTAAAGCCACGTTAAAGAAGTATATAACATAGTATTGGTGCTTTAGGAATCTTTAATCCTACTCAGAAGGTATGTCTAACAACATAAAGGAGTAAGAAAGTACAAGGCGCTATGAAGTGTTTAAAACTATGTAAAAAATAGGGATGCCTAGGTGGTTCAGTCTGTTAGGCGCCTGACTATTGGCTTCAGTTCAGGTCATGATCTCAGGATCATTGGAACAAGCCCCACATTGTGCTCTGTGCTGAGTGCAGAGTCCGCTTGGGATTCTCTCTCCCTCTGCACCCCCCCACTCTTTCTCTCTCTCTCTCTAAAATAAATAAGTAAATCCTAAAAAAACTGTAAAAAATAATGTGAAACATTTGTATTATATTTATTTTTTTAAAGATTTTAAAATCTGAGCCACCTAGACACCCCTGGATAATCTCTAAGATTTTTAATAATTGTATTGTACTCTCTTCCATGCACCTAAAAAAACAACATTAAGGGCACCTGAGTGGCTCAGTCTGTTAAGCGTCTGCCATCCGCTCAGGTCATGATCCTGGGGTCCTGGGATTGAGCCTGCATTAGGTGCCCTGCTCAGCGGGGAGCCTGCTTCTCCCTCTCCCTCTGCCCCTCCCCCCACTCATACTCTCTTTCTCTCTCTCTCTCAAATAAATAAATAAAATCTTAAAAAAAATTTGTATTATATTTATACACAGCAAATTCCATGATGAATAAAAACAACAGAGCCTTCCATTCCTTTGTCAGAGTCGATGGGGTATATAAAAAGACTGAGACATTAAAAAATACAATATTTTGGCGAATAATCACTTTGATTAATTATGCATACATTAAATAACAATAAAAGATGGATGGTCACATTTGATAGCTACTGCCAGATCTCAAAGTCATAGCTTCCTTAGTTCCTGAATATGTTTCATTTGTGAAAAAATTCAAATGTTTGATAAGTGTATTTAAAAGATGAAATTAATGACACTGTAATGGATATATCTAAGACATGGGTTCTTGAGAGTATAGTAGATTCCTCTGGGACCTCTCACATTACGTTTACCTTTCTCTCTCATTTGATCAGTGAAGTAGCGGATATTCCCATTGAATGACTTGTCTGAAACATATAAGGTTAAACAAGATGGTTATCCCTGATAATTCATTTCCTGATCCCATGACAACCCATTTCATGTTCAGGGTTGGTCACAGGATTTTTAATTAAGCAAACTTTCCACTTCTTCCACTATTTTTCCTTCTCCATTCCATGTTTGTGATATAACATTTCAACGAATTTTGTCCTTCTTTGATATTAGCCTTTCTAGATCTCCTTTTTATTCATCTGTGTGAACCAGACTAATGCAAATTTGCTATGATGGCTGCTTTGTGACCTGAAGACTTCTTGAGCACATCACCTCCCCACATTCTTTCGTTTGGTTTAAAGACACTCTTAAGTACACCTCCAAGGCAAAATGTCCTTGATCTGCTCTGGAAATATGACTATGACACATACTTATTCTTTTTTAAATTTTTTTTTAATTTAAATTTTAGGTTGTTAACATACAGCGCAATATTGATTTCTGTAGTAGAACTCAGTGGTTCATTACTTATGCACAACACCCAGTGCTCATTATAACAAGTGCCCTCCTAATACCCACGACCCATCTAGCCCATCCTCCACCCACCTCCCTCCATCAACTCTCGTTTGTTCTCTATCGTTAAGAGTCTCTTATGGCTTATTTCCCTCTCTCCATTTTTCCTTTTCCCCCTTCCCATATGTTCATCAGTTTTCTTTCTTAAATTCCACATATGAGTGAGATCATATGGTATTTATCTTTGACTGACTTGTTTCACTTAACATAATACACTCTAGCTCCATCCATATCGTTGCAATTGGCATGATTTTATTCTTTTTTTTTCTAAGATTTTATTTATTCATTTGAGAGAGAGAGAGAGAGAACACAAGCAGGGGGAGAGGCAGAAGGAGAGGGAGAAGCAGACTCCCCGCTGAGCAGGGAGCCCAATGCGGGGCTTGATCCCAGGACTCTGGGATCATGACCTGAGCTGAAGGCAGACACTTAACTGACTTAGCCACCCAGGCACCCCATGATTTCATTCTTTTTGATGGCTGTGTAATATTCCATTATATATATATATGATATATATATCTCACATCCTCTTTATCCATTCATCAGTCCATGGACATTGGACATTTGGGCTCTCTCTATAGTTTAACTATTGTTGATAATGCTGCTATAAACATCAGGTGCATGTATTCCTTCGAATCTGTATTTTTGTATCCTTTGGGTAAACACCTAGTAGTGCAATTACTGGATCATAGGGTAGTTCTATTTTTAACATTTTGAGGAACCTCCATACTGTTCTCCAGAGAGGCTGCACCAGTTTGTACTCCTACCAATAGTGTAAGATGGTTCCCTTTTCTCTGCATCCTCACCAACACCTGTTGTTTCTTATGCTGTTAATTTTAGCCATCCTGACAGGTGTGAGATGGTATCTCATCATGGTAATTTTTTTCTAAGATTTTATTTATTTGCCAGAGAGAGAGATACAGAGCACAAGCAGGGGGAGTGGCAGACAGAGGGAGAAGCAGACTCCCTGCTGAGCATGGCACCTGATGTGGCACTCGATCCCAGGACCCTGAGTCATGACCTAAGCCGAAGGTAGACACTTAACCGACTGAGCCACCCAGGCGTCCCTCATCATGGTTTTGATTTGTATTTCCCTGAGTGATGTTGACCATCTGTTCATGTGTCTCTTAGCCATCAGGACGTCTTCTTTGTAAAAGTGTCTATTCATGTCTTTTGCCCCTTTCTTAACTGGATTATTTGTTTTTTGGGTGTTGAGTTTGGTAAGTTCTTTGTAGATTTTGGATACTAACCCTTTATCAGATACGTCATTTGCAAATATCTTCTCCCATTCTGTAGGCTGCCTTTTAGTTTTGTTGATTATTTCCCTTGCTGTGCAGAAGATTTTATCTTGATGAAGTCCCAATAGTTCATTTTTGCTTTTGTTTCCCTTGCCTGTGGTGATGTTTCTAGTAAGAAGTTGCTACTGCCGAGGTAAAAGAGGTGTTTTCCTGGACACACACATTCTTAAACGTTCTCCTCTTGGGTGGTCCCTTAGCAGTACTCCCAGCCTCTAGGGCTACAAAAACAAGTCTTAAGGGAGGTGGGGTTGCAGAGATCTACTCATCTTCCATGACCCAAGACACACTTCAGTCCATAAGTCCCCTTAATAAAACCATTTCTTGACAAGCTGGACTTGGTCTTTTTCTTCAGTTTTATGGCTCCATTGGCCTTTGGAAGTTGTTTTCATATATCTCTCTTTCACAAACATCACCCTTGCCCAAAAAGCCACCTGGCAAGTTATATGCTCATCCATTTGTAATGGCTATGGATTTTATTGTCTTTTTCAGAGAGCCTGTAGTACAACAGGAGTTTTCTGGAGGTAGTAGTTCTTTTAGTCACTTAATGTGCTTCCTTTAATACAGAGAATCCCAATTCATGAGAGATGCATTATAAAAAGAAAATGAAAAGAAATACCTGGTGTAAAATTTTAAGAAGATAAATCTTACAAATTAAACCAAATGGTTAGACCATTGACTTATTTTGAAGGTTTCTTCCAGTCATGTTTTCCCCACTATATTTCTTGGCTGCACATTACAGATGGAGGCTTTCAGATGTTGCCTCCTAACTCCCTATCACCAGCACCTGGCACTAAGTCCCACGGATTCAATTCCTGTCATATCCTTCGTTTTTCTATCTTTGTGCTCACTGCCCTCGTTCAGAACTTCTCTCCAAACTATCTTAATAAACTCTTTTAATAGTGTTGCATATAAGTCTATTGTTCACATAATCAAATGTGTCAAATTTTTGCCTTATGGTTGTTGTGGTTGCCTAAATATTTAAATGTGCTCATACAGTGAGAAAAATATATGTTAAAAGTTTATATAATCATATTAATTTAGAGGATTAATGTGTACATAACAGAGAATAGAATATAGTTATTGAGAGTGTGGGTCCTAAAGTAGACCACCTTGTTTAAATCCTAGCTCTGCTATTTGAAATTGTATGATCTTGGCAAATTACTTCAGGTCAACTGTGCTCCATTTTCTCATCTACAAATTGAGATTGATAAAAATGATAATACTTACCTGAAACACTGACTGGGAATTCCATTATAAATGCTTAATAAGTATGAGCTTATGTTGTTATTATGCCAAATCCATATGGTAATATAGAGGAGTGTGGAGAGCAAGATGCAGTCTCTCATGTCAAGTAGGGGCCTGTGTCAAGCAATGATGCAAGCATTTAAAGGTACAGCAGCTAGGAGATATACTGGGACCAGCATCAGCTGACATCCCAGACCTAATAACAAGCAGAACCAGAGGAGTTCTGCTGGGGTGCAAGACCAATTAAATCCCTTTAAAAAGGAGAGGATTTGGACAGCAAACTGTCAGACTCTTCAGACGTGACCTCACTATGTCTGACCACTTAAAAAAGGCAGCTGCCACGCAAGGTTCTGCCCCCTTGTTCTCTGAATAGAACTGACATCCTTCACTGCTTGAACAATAAGCAGTAAGTGCTGAGAGCTGACTCAGACCAAACCAAGACCTTGTCTCAACTGTGCCCCCAAAGGTGACTTCAGGTTGGTTCATTAACTTCCTACACCCTTCTGTGGCTTTTTTTTTTTTTTTTTTT